CCGCCCCCCCGAGAGTGCCAGCTGGGGAGTGTGCCAGGAGAAGCCCCCCCCCCCCATGGACAGTCAGCAACTGTGGAGGGGGGGGGTCCCGCCGCCAATCCTGCTGACCTGGAAGTGCCAGTGGCCAGTTGCAGGTCAGCAGGATCAGTTGCGAGGGGACCCCCCCCAGTTGCTGACTGTCCACTGGGAGGGGGGCGACTCAGCAGGCACCAGTTGCCTATGAAGATATAGTTTATACATGATTTATTAGGCTCAATACAAGGTTATTGGTTGATAGTTTAATTACCTGCCTTATTCAGGAAGTCAGAATAGATTTTGTAAGGCTTTAATATTATGAATAAATCTATGATTTAAGTAAAATGTGAACTGGCACTGGAACTTACATTTGTCTTCTGTTCATTTTACAGGTACTACAGTGCTACTATTCTGCAGATGTCAGGGGTTCAAGACGACAGGCTTGCAATTTGGCTGGCTGCATTAACAGCATTTATAAACTTCATTTTCACTCTAGTGGGAGTCTGGCTTGTTGAAAAAATGGGCCGCCGGAAACTTACACTTGGTAGCTTAACAGGTGTGTGATTAATTGGGAATGAAAACTAGGAAAATGAAATCACTGTTCTGACTGTTTCTACAGTCAACACCAGTCTTAAGAAAAAAAATCTGTTGGCTCCTTATTTTTCCTTAAAAGTTGTTGTTGTTTTTTTTAAGAATACACTATACTGAAGTATACGGGCACTTGTTGAATGAAAACAGTATGTGCTAAGGGTCGAGAATAAAATGTTATTTTTTTAATCATAGGGGCTATTTGTTTAGGGTATTGTTGACCATATTTGTGGCCTATTAAGATTTTTCTTTTGGGAGAAGCCAAATGCTCATAACTACACAGTTGGGTTCTTCTTAAATGTATAATATAGTATGTTCAGTTATTAGATATGCAAGTGGATATGGAACATTTTGTCAGAAGATATTACAGAAAGCAAAATACATTTGTAATTATTGTATACTTTTTAAAAAGCATATTCTGTTGATTACACCCCAGATATAAAATCGTAAAAACATTGCAATTAATGATTTAACATATCATAAAGTGGGCAGTCTTCATGCTGATATAAAATACCAAAGGGTAAAATTCTGAATGGTTATGAATTTTAGCCATTAACTATACACCCTCATAGTAGGAATGATAATAGGGTTAGCAGTTTCTCTGACTCAGTCAGAACATCTGTAGGAAGATGTAATCATCAGAGATGGTATCACTGCCTGCAGTTAACATGCAGCAATTTCCATAATAAGACCAGGTTTTTTACTTATAATTTTGCCATATTTTAACCATTTCAGCTGTAGTTTTGCATGCCAAGGTCCACTTCCAGGTTAATTTTTCTGGAAAGTTTCAGGTAAAACAGTTCACCAGTTTGTGCAAATAAGGCTGGAGGAAAATACATGTTGTATTCCTTGGGGTATTGGTAATAACTCTTTTAAAAATGTATAATTGAAAAGTTTGGGGGCTTCCCTGCTTTAGACTAGGGATTTAAAATTTGACAGATGTGTGGTTTTCATATCAGAAATCTAAATGTCCAACGAGTATAGGTGACTTACTAGCCAATTTTAATAATGTATTAATCAGAGCAAAACATGACCTTTCAAATAGCTGGCCAACCAGAGTTCAGGTAACATTCTCCAATAGTAGTATTTAAGCTACATCCTTAACATGTGCCTACACTTTTAATTGATTAGATTTATATGCCACCCTTCCTGTCAAGCGATCAGAGTGTCTTAAAAAAGAAAAATTAATTAAAAAAGTAGATAGAATAATAAAATGAGAGTATAAAGCAAAAACTCCCTAAACGATATCCCAACTTGAAGTTCAATAAGGACAAGTGCAAAGTTCTGCACTAAGGACAAAATAATACCATGCAACAGGCTGGGGACTAACTGGCTAAACAGCAGCTCTGCAGAAAAGACCTGGGGGTTACAGTGGACAATAAGCTAATATGAGGGTGTCAAACTCATCTGGCCCTATAGGCCAGTAGAGTGGCCCAGGATTAGTCCATGGGCTGGATGAACAGGCCAGATCAGGCCCATGGACCTCTCCCCCTACCTATTCCTTTCATGCAGCATCCCAGCTCTCTTGGATGTTATCTTTTCCTTTCACCACCCTGGAATCAATTTAGGACTGGCTTTTATAGGCCTTAGTTCCTTCTTACTCCCAGCAACCTCTGGGAGTATTAATGTTTGATAAGAGCCAGCTGTTTGTGTTTGCGCTTTACCTTTGACAATTCTCTCTGCAGTGGTCATAGTGACCTTGCCGTCCAGTTGATGATGATGTAAGGTTGGCAACCTGAAAACATTCATATAAACATGTTTCAAAAAAAGCAAACAGGCAGAAATAAAATAATAAGAACAACAGGATTGTAATAGGGTCTTATGTATATGGTACTGTGACCCAGAAAAAGACTGCAAAGTTAAGATGTCCTTGCTCTCTGCTGGGCTGCTATCTTTCATTCAGCAAGGTCTGCTTAATCAGCACTGTGTTGCTTATTGTTTTTATTTTCTTACTGACTTCAAAAAAGGGGGAAAAACAAGACCCTCTTTGCCTGAGTCAAGGCTGAGACCACCTGCAGTCTCTAAATCCAGTTTAGAGCTTTTTGCATGATGACTGGTTTTCAATTTTAGGTGGCAAGGAAGGGGTGATTATACAAGTTGCACATTTTCTGATATTTTTATCTTTATGTATCCCTTATTATTCCATTTTAATGGTCTCTGCAGCATACAAAGCACTTTTGTTGGAGAGATGTTTACTAAATGAGTAATTATTAGGAGCTCATTAGATCCTCTGGTGGGTGGTATTATTTTCCCAAAGAATGGATTTTGTTGTGTTGGCAAGCCTGAATATTTCGCTCTATCCTTCTTCTGTGCCTCATTAGGGATTCAGAATCTTGACTTCTGACTCCTGGTTACTAGAGTGACTGTGTCTGGGCCTTTGGACAAGCCACATGACCTGCCCCTTCAGTCTCTCACTGTGCAAAATGAGGATGGTAAAAATACTGACTGCATAATTCTTTTGTGAGGATTAATTTGGTTAATGTTTGTATAGTGAGTTATGAAAGCTAAGATCATGGAAAGTCGTACATTTGTAATATTTCATAGCACTATAAAAATATAACACTAAGAGGAGTTTACACGTGTTCAGAACCTCCTGGCTGGATTGCTACAAAGTCACCAGGGAAGGGGGATCAGGTATGCTGTCAGTCATCCATGCACACTGACAGTGATCTGTGGGCAGCCAATCACTTACAGAGTGGTCAGCCATGATCCCTGCCCCTGCAGAGAGCAGAGACAAGAGACAGTTTGGGACCAGTGAGCTGTCATCGACAGGCCTACATTGGACTGGGGGCAACAGTATTCCTTGCCCCCTCCCCCACCACCACTCCCTTGAGCAGCAGTGGACTGTCTGTCTTTGACAGTTACTTCTCTAAGTTTGGGAACAACAGTTCCTTGTCCCCTCCCTCCTACTCTTTTCCCTGCGGTGGGCTGTCATGGAGCCTACCACCCTCCCTCCCTCCCTTCTTTCTTCTCCCCTTAAAGGAAGGGAGAGCAGAGCACTCTGGTAAGCTGAGAGACCCAGAGACTCCCTGTAGTGTAACATGGAACTGTACAGATGTTACATATGGTGCTATAAAACAAAGTGCTCCAGAGAAGTTCCTGTTTCAAACCAGAATATTTTTATAGCGCTTGCTGTATTCTTGTAGCACCGCAGTTCATGTTGGCACACCAGCTTTTTGTAGCGCTACAAGGGGATATGTAGTGCTACAAATATAAGGTCTGTCCACGGCCTAAGCCAAAGAAAAATTGGGGGTAAAAAAAACACATTCACAAATATCTCAGACCCAAGCAGATTTCTGGAGTCCTAAGTAGAATTGTTCTATATACATGTTTAGTCAGGTATTTTTTGTGACATGGTCTTAGCATTGCAATGAACAAATTATGGGCTATAATATCAGTGTTAATAGTTGAATGAAAAGTAAATTTACCTAAAGTTCATTTTTCTAAACTAAGTTGAAGCTTTTCCATTCTTAACCAGTGTTTTGCAAGGGAATATCTAGTTGAGTCCTCTTCATCAGTTTCAAAAGTTGACAGCATTTAAAACAAAATTCTAGTCATGATGCTAGATCCATGAAAAATTATAAAAGTTATAGCTGGCCACTTTTTGCCAGTGAGGGTGAAAACAGATGGATGAAGTTTTAACATGGCTAGCTACTGATGCAACTCCAGCTCCTGCTATATGTTGATGCCAATTGTCTTTTTTTCTTTTGTTCTATATCTTCAAACCCTGCTTGTTAAATGGAAAATAGGCAGAGATTTTGACAAGTATAATGTCTTCTTTTTTCTTTCCTAAAAACTTGGCAGTCTGGGAACATGCAATATTTATCCTTTTGTACTTTTAGTACAACTTTTAGTACTATGTAAGGGAAAGGACATAAAATATCTTAAGAGTACTTAAATTTTTAGTATCAGTTAATGATAAGGTACATTGGATTGTGTTTAGTTAGCTACAACTTCTCAGAAAATGAAAATGTTATGTAATAAGTAATTTCCAAGTTTGAATACTTTCCTTTTTCTTGATAAAAGGAGGAAGCAGGGCAAGGAGACATCTCAGAGACTAACTCATTCAGAAACATACACTCTTTGCCAGATGTTATGAGAAGTAGTCTGTCTCTTATGAGAGCTTATGCATTTCTGAATGAGTTAGACTTCAAGGTGCTACCTTGCTGTTCCTTCTGCCTAATTTCAAACTAACACAGGTAACTACCTGTCTTTATAAAAGGAGGAGAGAGAGGAGGGGAGATGTTTCTGTTTGAGGGTAACCTCCTGAAAAAGAGACAGAGCATATTTAAAATGAGTATCAATTCAGTTATAGTTCCCCATGTGAAACATGTCCAGAGATGTTTGATGTTCTGACTTATAGCATTTTGGAAAGCATGTTAAATCTAGTATGAAATCCATCATGGCCAGAGGACCGTGATCATTGGTGTAAAGAGTACTAGAAGCAACACAAAGCCAAGTACAGAATGCCTTGAAAATCCTCATTTTAATTTTCATAAGTATTTTCATGATAAGTATTTTCCAAATACTTATGCTTGCTGATCTGGCATAAGCTCTTGGCATCAGAAGCAGAGCTAACCATTTACATAAATATAACTATATGTCCAAAACACTCCCAATTAATGCATTCACATTAATTTTGTTAAATCATGTATCAAATAAATTTGGGTCTACTGGAAATTGTTTGAACCTGAGAGAAAAAATGTTTCCCTCCTCTGTCTGCTCCCCCCACCCTATACTAATTTGGTAAACTTATTTTCATGAAGTCTGTATTTTTCTTAAACTGCATGAGAACCATGTTACAAGTAGTGTCAAGCACATATTCTAGCGTACATGCATGATTTTAGAAATGTGAGTTATCCTCTTAGTCCCTCACATTCTGCCTTCCTTCCTGATGAGCATTTGAATAGGATAAAACGTTCTTCTTTGCTTTTCCTAAACTATTATAAAGTGTTGCTGTGGTGTGCTGAACATCTGCTCATGGGGTGGCTCAGTGATTCATGAATCTGTCCCTATGTCACAGGAAAATTCAGTAGCTCCACATAAATAAGGTTAAAGCTCTCTTTGCCTATTATCAGTCCATATTTGTAAAGTTCTGTAGAACTCTTGAAATAAGATGTTTTTCATAAATATGCTTTTGTATGCTGTAGCCTGACATCTAGACATACACATGCACATATTTTGTGTGTGTGAAACAGATGAATAAATGAAGGGATGCATGATAGTATAATATACTCCCAAGGTTGTATCAGGCTAAAATTTGGGATAGCTCTGTTATTGATGAGTGGTGAAGCCATACATGAGTTTTACAGGCCATTCCAACACAGCATCTGGTAAAATGTTTATACTGTTCTAAACAGCATTGCCTATATACCATCCAGGCCTTTGAAATGCATGATACTTATATGACTGTATATGCCCATATAGACTACAAAAAATGGGTGCCCACACATTCAGGATGTTTGTAGCACTACAAAAGACAGATTCATGACAGAAATGGAGAATCTACTGCAAAGAAGTTGTAGTTTCAAACAGGAACTTTTTGGGAGCTTCCCATGTAATGTGTGGACAGTCATATGTAGTGGTATAGGGTTCTCTCAGACTCCCCAGCATCCTGAGGAGGAGGAAGGGGAGAGAGGCTGGCTCCTTGAGGGCCTGCAGCAAGCTACCTCCAGCTGACACCAGTGTTATCATGTAGCAAAAGGTATTCTCAGATTCCTAAAAAGACAGGTTAGCATTGTAGGAAATGCTCTGCTAAGTGCCAGTGTAAATTGGGTATCTTGGTTTGTTTTTTTCTAAACACATCTATTCAGCAGAGAATTATTTCATGTTCTCTGAAGTAAAATTACTTTGTTATTTTTCTGTTTTTAGGTACTGGTATAGCACTCATTATTCTAGCTTCGGGATTTTTGCTGTCAGCTCAGGTCTCACCACGAATCACTCTTAACCCAACAGCACCTTCAGGTCCAAATGCTACTTGCACAAAATACAGGTGAGATTTTATGATTGTTCGTCCATTACATTTCTATTGGATTTTTGCCCCCCAATTTCTCAACCTTTGAAAACACAGTGTTACTAAAAGGTCTGAATATATTTAAAAAAAACAAAAACAAAACAAAACCTAAGACTGTGCTTGCTGTTACTAGGCTGTTTACAGATATCCCCATGTGTTACATGGTAACCCAGACAGGAACTCTATTAGAACATTTGTATTCCTTTCCCTTCATTTCACTGGTTTAAAAAAGATTCTACCTTTTCAAACCATGTTTACTAGTAGTGAATTCAGAGTAGATATGCTTATTTCATTTTTCCATGGTAAATTGAACATATACTTTTGCATACAGTCAGGGTTTCCAATACATTAGTTTAGAATTTTTGTTAAAATATTCACTGATTTTTCTGTAGTTACGGTTTTTGATCTAATTTATTTGCTAGCAAATAAAATACACAAACTGATTTAATAGAAGAAGTAGTGTTCTTTACTAAATCTCGGGGATTTAGTAATGATTAAAGGCCAGATCCAGTTTGGTCTCAGAAGTGCCTTGACAGCTGTAAGGTTTAACTTAGGCACCTTAAGTTCAAAAAAACATTTCAGTTTGTGCCTGTTCTTCAAGCCATGAAGCCCCGTAGACAGCTAAGCAGGGCCTCCATTTTGGGTTTCTTACACCTGCCCCTGTTTTTCTACCCAAAAGCAATCCAATGTGCTCAGAAGTGATCCATTTTGGTCACTAAGACATCTAATTCCCACTGAAGCTCCATGGTGATCCAGTTCCATGGGAGTGTCTAATACCCCAGAGAGACCAGATCCATTAAACACGCTCGGAGCATATCTGACATATGTTGACAACACCATTCCAGAGGGTCTTTGTTTTTCTTAACTAAGGATTATCTAATAAAGTATTTTAAAAGTCCTGGCAGCAGGGCTCAGAGGGTCCTTACCTCACCATGCTTCCTGGACTAGAAGCTTTTAGGTACCACCTAAAAGTTTGTTATGAACCAACCTACCCTCTGTCCTGGGAGTGTGCATTCTGTATTTGTTCAGCTCAGACCTATGCCTGGGAATTAGTTTCCTGTAGGCACCTTTGAGCTTTCTAGACCTTCCTTTGGGGGTACCTCTTCCCCCGCGCACACACACACCTCATTCTCTGTGTATTGCACCTAATTGCCTAAACTTTGTCAAACTGGATTACAATTTGGAGGTTCCTTATTGGCTGTATTGGGGTCCTGGGTGCCTAACCCCAGTCAAATTAGATCATTCTTTCAGGCTGAGGTACATAGATTTTGAGGTATTGGGATGCCTGTGACATCAAACTAGATGTGGCATCCTTGGGTTTGGATTACTTGTTGATATGCATAAAATAATAATCAGTAGCTTGCCTTTATCCCTATGGAGACTGCAGTCGTATGTATGTGCTTCTCAGTACCCATTTGGCCGGCAGACTGGATAATGCAAAAGTTCCATTAAGAAAAACTACCACATTTATATGATTGCAAGATGCGATTTTTCCCCATTTAACATTGCGGGGAGCCCCTCATCTTGGATTTGAGGGTGGCAGACAGTTGCTGTGGCCCCAGCCCCAACCCAGGGTTGGGGCCAGAGCTGCTACTGCTGCATGCTCCCCTCCCAATTCTGCATCCCTTGCCTCTTCCCCCTGTAGGCTTGGGCCCTTGCTTTCCTTTCTCCCAGTCTCTCCCCCAACCCCTGCAGCCTCTGCCCCTTATGTTCCTTCCCTCCTCTTACTTTTGCCCCATGCCAGCAGGCTCCATCCCCATTCCAGCCTGGGGCAAGGAACACAGCCCCATCCTGGCCCGTAGCAGCAGTGATGATTCCATGTTTGTGTTGTGGGGCCAGGAGGTGGGGGCAGGTGAGGGACAGAGTGGGAGGGAGATGGAGGAGCAGGGTTGGGGCCTAAAGCGGCAGAGAGGGGCAACTGTGGGGAAGATGCTCCTGGCAGGGCAGGCAAAAGAGAGAAGTATATGTGAGGGGGAGAGGGGCAGATAGCAGGGGGTAAGCTGCTTGCCCTCCCCATCACCTCCATACTACTTGCCCCTACCACCTGCCTCCCTACTGCCCTGCGCCCTTACTGCTTCCCCATACACCTGCCCCCTACCACTGCTTTCCCCACTGCAGCAGTGGAGGGGATGATTTTAAGGCAAATGATATACATGGAAAGTGATAATAAATTTTAATGTTTATAGCTAGAATCTAATTATTGGGGGTTATCTTCAATTCCGGGTCAGTGTGGATTCAGGTAAATATGGTAGCTAAATATGACTGTTTGTTTAAATTGCAGTAAAGGCTGAAGCAGCTCTTTGGTTCAATCCAGTTTCTCTACTTGACAAGTATTTGCGGCTGAGCGCAATACAGACAAGCCTCAAGATTTTATTCTAGGGATGGATGAATGATTAATGATTAAAATGAATAATTCACCAAATAATACAAATGTGAGTGCTCCTCAAGACCAGAATACACAGTACATGGGTGTTCAGCTGCCTGTCTTTGCCTTTTGCTTTCTTTCTCAGCAGAAAAACCAGGGTAGACTCCCCAGGCTCTCCTAAAAGCTATGGGAAAGTTGTGGTGATGAGGAAATTCTGAGGTGGGACCCTGGAAGTGGGAGAAGCAGTCTAGTTTCTCCAGAGGCCCTGGCTGGAAGTATACCTGGCTGCTCTCCACACCCCAGGACACTTTGTCAGAAAATGTGTCTGAGGAGAAGAAACTATGGCATCCTGCAATGTGGGTCTTTTAGCAAGAGGGGTGATATAAATTATGGTAATCATGGTTTGGATACCATCCATGTCTTAGGATCCCTAAACACAGATATCATTGCTTCACTAGTTCACTGCTTCCTAATTTGCTACCTATCCTGCTTTGTTGTTTTTGGTGGTTGCCCACATTGCCTTCTCAAATAACAAGTGACACAGGAAAGAGATCAAAAAAGTGTCTCCAAAGAAATGGTCCCTTTTTGTATGAAAATACAGAAAGTTACTGTATTTTCTCACATACAAAACACATCTTTAAAAAACAAAAAAACAAAACAGCTGCATGAAATAGATGTTTTAAGGAAAAAAATACAGCAATGGCAGCTTCTGCAGGGGACAGAACATTGCTCTTTCTGCACAGGGAGCACCACAGTGAACATGCACGGGTGCCTCCCTGCTGGAAATGGATAGTAGGAGCTCTGCAATGCCCACTGTACTGTCCACATGCAGCACTACTTTCCCTTTCCCTGGCAGAGGCATATGCTGCAGAAACTGGTACTGACTTTGGAGCCTCTACCCCAGCCCCCGGAGCGTAGCTCTGCTGTATTTCTAAAGGAGAGCAGAGCCATGAGTGCCGAGAGAGAGGTTCCTGATGAATCAGTTGGGTGAGCCCTCAAATGACTCTGCAGGTAGGGCTGGCTGAGAGTGGCTCTGCTTTCCTGGCAGGTGCTACAGACTGCGCACCCAGCTCAGCTGGAGAAGAGAAGAGGAATCGGGCATTTTGGGTCAGCCAGCAGCACCTGTGGCATCCTGTCTCTAGGAGATTATCAAAACAGCCACAATGCGTTGTTGCCCCCACCCCCATATAGCTTCCTGTGTTTCCGTACCATGGTTACTGGCATTTTCAAGGAAAGAGTATTTTTTCTTCTTTCTACCATTCCAAAAAATGATACATATCTTATTCAGGGGTGTGTTGTATGCTTAAAGTATCAATGGAATGGCCTCTGGAAATTGTTTGGAAGAAATGGTGCAAATGTGAACAATGAGGTCTTGCAACATTTGCTGATATGCCCAGATTTTTTGGGGTGAGCTGCATCTGAAAATAACTGTGAGATCATTCAAAAGAGTGGGACAAAGCTAGGGAAGACTGTCAAGCCTGATACCAGATGAAAACAGATGTAGACTGGGTTGTTCTGAATAATTTGTTTGAAAAAAATAATTTAAATTGCTTCTGCACATTGTTGATTTCCAAGTTTACTGTAACCGCTTGGGAAGGAGACCTAGAGATCATTGTGGATAGTTCAGTGGACAGAAGGCAAGCAAGATGTTAGTAGTAGATAAGGTTGTCATTATATGAACCAATGGAATGCTCCCATCTGAAATTGTCTGTTCTTTCTAACAGACTGACCAAGTCAATATAGCAGGAAAAAGGGTCTAGGGAAGGGCAACTACAGAAGGTTAGAAGAATGGAGGGGCTTTCATATAGGGAAAGGTTGAAACGGCTAGAACTGTTTTAATTTAAACATAAGAGTGAACATGTAGGAGGTAATATGAAATAATGAGTGATAGAAGGTCCCACATGCTTCTGTTTAGCCTCATGGCACCATAATAAGGATACAGCAATTAAACTAAATGTCTGCCAAGTTAGAAGTTATTAAACAAAAGTTTTCTATATAATGCATTAATTAACTGTGGGCTTCAGTGCCAAGTGTTTAGCAGAATTCAAGAAAGGATTAAACATTTGTTTTGATAATGAGAATATCAACAATTATACAAGATAATATTGTATATGGGATATCGACTCTCTTGTTTGAGAACATCAGAAATGATAAGCTTCTTGGAACTAGGGGAAAATTACTTTCTTCCTAAGAGTGTTATCCACTATTGTCTATTTTGGGGAGGATCTTAATTTCTTCTCTGAAATACCTGCTATCAGCCCCTGCTGCAGACGGTGGCGTGAAGCCTTACAATTTGCTGTCTTTTCCACCAAGGACTCTAGCAATAGAAAATTACTTATTAATTATTATTTTAGTGGTGTTTCAAGGGAAGAAAGCAATTAAGAACATTTCATCCTTGGTGGAATCCCCAGCGGAGATTAGCTCTAGCCTGCTTCACTTGCAAACCCTTTTATCCGCAAGTACAAAATCTAGAAGAACATCTTCCTCCATATAAGTATTTCATGAAATAAACTTCACACATATCATAGGTTATGGTTCTGCTTTGAAATGTGGCCATGTATAAATGGCATCCTTTTATTTAGTTGTTCTGTTTCCTGTGTATACGAAGTCTAAT